GGGATGACATATGAAGCTCTCCCCTCCTAGGATCCTACTTCTGCCCGGCTTGAAAAATGACTCGGGTTGACTCAGTTGTCTACCTAAAGATGCCACCTATTTTCTGGTGGAAAGGTTGAATATCTCCTCTGTGACCCTGCTCCTGTGAACACTTTCATTCACTTTCTGGGGCTACTTAAAGCAGTTAACAATCTATGCCCAAGCATATGCAAACTTATCTCCGCATTATACCTCTTGGAAGACACAGGGACAGAAGTAGCACCCTGTCCAGAGAGGATGTGCAGGCAGCCACTTTTGTGTCCCTCTAAATCCAGGATTAATAATGCTTACATCACTAGAACAGCTTGATAGCTACCCATGTGACACTTTTCAAGACTAGAATAATAGGAACGCAAAGCATCTGGTTTTATCTTCAGCACTTCCTAACACAGGGGGCTTCTCGAAAGGCTATCATTGGGCTAACCTAGTTGGCTTCATGCGATTGCTGTGGCTGGGGGAACTCTCCAGGGGTCTATTTCCCCTCTGAGGCAATGGAAATAGCATAGAGAGGCTGGTGTATGGGAATAATATTTGCCTGTTTGTGGGACTGGGCCCTGTTCTGAGTAGCCTGCAACTAAAAGATCACACTTCTGGCAGCTTTCTAAACTGTATCTGTCCTTCACTGCCACACCCCAGAACAATAAACAGCAGCAGCAAGTCTTTTATAGTAAAAATCTTGCAGGTGTAGGTGGAGGAGGACAAGAATAAAAAAGGAATTTCTTGCCTGTAATATTTATTTTAGCATAACATAACAAAAAATTCCTGTTCCTCCTAGTTTGCAAGTAGTATAGCTCCTTGTAAGACTTTCGAGTTGTAATGCTGCAGTGTGAAATGACATTGCTGCCATCCCAGTAACTGCAGTATTCATGCAGGGTTTTTCTAGCTGTATAAAAGGTTTTCAATGCTATATTCATTAGTCCGCCCGTGATCCTGACCTTTTCCCTACTTCTAGAGCCATTTAGTTTTGTTCTGAAGACTGAACCACCTATTTGACAGGACTTTCTGCTTGCTGGTGCCAAGACTGAGCAGACAAACACTGGAGCTTATTGCACATGCACATAGTGTGTAGAAGAGCATTCATTCTTAAAAAAGGAGGGGGCAAGTTAGGTACCAAACACAATGGCTACGTTCATGCTGTGTTTGAGATGCAACTATTTATACTTCAAGGACAAAATATGCAACACACCCTTTATCTAGAGCTATAAAATAGTAGCAAGTCTGGTAAATATGAAACCCTTCACTGTTCAAAGAAACATTTGTGGGTTTTCCTGAGACAACATGGTGGAGTGCCTGTCAGCACTTGCTGTGCTCCCTGTTGTGTCATGTCAGGGAAGTTTTAGCCCCAGGCTTAAAAAGCTGACAGCAGGGGAGTCAAATCCACTCAAGTATCAAGCTGGTTCACACCACTATAATCTCTGGCAAAGTGCCCCATTGCAGCAAGTCCTTTGGAAAAGGTTCAAGCAGTACAAAGTTAGCCATAACTTCATTTGTGCTGCCATGGGTTACAGGAGGAGAATGGAGCCAAGAAAACGGGTGGAGCTTGTTGAGAATGAGGTGTGTGGCCAAGGCAAGTGGAGATACAGCACATCTGTATGTCTTTGGTGCCATGGGGACTCCTGGGCAGCCTTTACTATAAATTAAAGCTACCCTAACCTCACAGCCACAATCCTTAAAGAAGGCAGTGGTGTCAAGACTATGTACTCACTCCTAGTTTAAATCCTGCTGCTATGCAGGGAAGAACTGCTTTCAGATCAGTTATGACTGAGCTCTGGGATCTGTTGGGGGTGGGGGGAAGCTTATTTAATTTAGAAATCCATAAATATAAGGTCAGTCTATAAAGCAAGCTTTATTCTTTTTTTTGGGTTTGCTTGTAGCTATGACTTAGGCATAGAAAATCGTGATGCAACAGATGACAAAGTGACAGTGCAAGCGGCAGAAGCCATAAAGAAGTACAACATTGGCATCAAGTGTGCGACCATAACCCCTGATGAGAAGAGAGTGGAGGAGTTCAAGCTGAAACAAATGTGGAAATCTCCCAATGGGACCATTCGTAACATTCTGGGTGGTACAGTCTTCAGGGAAGCTATTATCTGCAAGAACATCCCCCGACTGGTGACTGGATGGGTGAAACCCATTGTCATTGGCCGTCATGCATATGGGGATCAAGTGAGTTACTTTAGGGTCCTTCTAGTTTAAAATGTTACTGTGTATAACTGAAGATTCCAAGGGAATAGGACTGGCACAAATTCTATACACCCAACACATCTGACATCTCATAATCCTGTTTGTTATGTGTGATTTATGGATCACAGTAAACCTTCCACCTTTCTCCACATACATTAATTAGTATTCTTACAATACCTAGCATATTGCTTTGGTCCATGACAGAGACCCCTGAGTATTACTACACTTCTATTTTTTTTATAATATACAGAGGTCCATGCTAGAGGTTGGGTGCTGAAGAGTAGCACATGCTCCAACTCCTAGAATCATTCTGACTACTTCAGCACCCTAGAGGCAAGAATACCTTTCCCAACTACTGCTGAGGTACTTCATTTCACCCCGATGCAGTTGTGACTACAAAAAATGCACTGTACCCCCAAATCTTTTCCTTTCTTCCCATCTCAGTGGTGGTGAGCAATTTTCTGAACAGCTTGCAGATTATCTAACTATAGTTTCAAAATCTCTGCTAGGTCTATTTCCACCAGACATTATGACAACTTTTCCTTTTCATTTCTGACTACATACCTTTTAAAAAAGGAGAGGGGGAAAAAAGGATTATATTGTTTGGATACAGTTAATCAGGCTTGGTTTGCTTGGGGAGACTAGACAAATGTTAACTTGGAGACCTCAGATCAGGTGGTAAAGAAAAGCATTCCCCAGCTTTCAGTTATGTCTTAACACTGTAACAGTTGATGTAAGATGAATCTGTGAGAGTCCTCTGATGTTCAGTTTGTAAAACTCAATTTACCTGCAGGAGTCATACTTGGGCAGACCAAACCACACACACACACACTGGCAGCAGAACCACTCTTCCCACATCCCCCTGCCCCCCGAGCACAAAATCAAAATTTAGGCAATATCTAGAGATAAGTCAGACTCTTGAAGGAGAAAGAGAGTAGTCAACTTACTAGCCTCATTTGCTTCTATTATATAAGTAGGTCTTTCACGTATGATGAAAAGCAGGAGGCAAACTGGTGGGTTTTTTGGGTTTGTTTTTGTTTGTTTGTTTTTAATCAACCTGCCACATTTTTACTTTCATATTAAGCTTTTTGTTACAAGTCAATTGGCACTGACGTTTTAGTGTTTATGGAGATTTCTTCAACAGTCCAATTGATGTGACCACTGGGAGGCAGCAAAGCCTGACTATTTCACAAGCCCTGGGCTTTTTTCCCAGCACAGCCACACATCTGTGCAATGCAAAGTGCCATCATCTCGTGCATCAGCATTCCTATATGTGCAGTGGGAACTGTTGTACTCTTCAAAGTGTCCTAAGATCCCTGGAGGCAAAGTGTTTAACAGAGCTACATATTTGTTGAATAGGTGCTAAGCACTAGTACTTATAGGGCATTTCTTACATACTTAACCTTCTGATCTCCCCGTACCATTTTAGCTATGTCCCTATCAGCAGAAAGAAATCCTTGAGCCTTGGCCTTGGGGGAAAAAGAATATTTTGTTTTATAACTTTAAGAAGTAAGCCAGAGGCATTGTATAACTGAGGCAGTGGAAAGTGTAATAGAGGTGCACAGTCTCATGCTAAGGCAGAAGACTGGAAGCCTGCCAAAGTGAGTGAATAAAGTAAAAGGAGTATCATGGGAATAGGGAAAGGGGACAACAGGCATAGAGCTAGAGAAGTTGCAAAAGAGTTTA